TCTAAGATCAAATACCAATGAAATTAATATGGGGCTACATGGGAAGTACTATCATTCAAATAAAAAAAGAATTATCAAAATAGGTTCACTCAGTCGAAAGGTCTGAGGTAACAAACATAATACCCATTATTTACTAACGAAAAACAAAACCAACTTTAAATATCTCGCTCTATATTAATTTTATAATTGATCTCAAGCGAGCAGACGGTTCATCGGATATTAAGTGAATACCGCCGCCCATAGACATCTGCTACAACCGAGGGTTGCAGATGCGTTGACAACCTTTTGAAAATTGGGCTGCGGTTACCTCACTCACCAGACGAAACGCGAAAGTATTACACTTCCACTTTACGCCGGTCTTCTGTGAGTTCGTGGTATTTACCCGGACGAGCCTGCCCATATGTGCAACAGCCAAGGCTGCTGCATGGCCCTACCACCGTAAAAAGATCCAATAATTAGTATTAATATGGAGTTAATATGGGACCACATGGGAAGCACCAGCTTTCAAATAAAGAATCATCAAAATTGGTTCACTCAGTCAAAAGTTCTGAGGCAACAAACAAAAAAAAAAAATAGAGTCAAATTAAGAACCTCATCCTTTTGAAGTCGGTTAATAAGTAAATCATAAAAGAAAAATGACGGTGACTGTTGTTTATGTCGAAAAAAATAATGCCGGGTGGATAAAACTCGGCGAGCAGGTGAATAGTCGTATTTGCACTGCTCCCGAGCGAAGTCGGGTAGATTCGTAAGTGATAAGTTAAGGTATAAAAAAACTACTCTTGTTTGTTTATTTTTTTATAGATATTTTCAGTTAATCTAAGTAATTTTACTTTTAAACAGATACGTACGGCACATTTAACAAGAAAATTAGTTTCTTTTATTATTTTAGTAGTTGACCCTGGCCACATTCCGCTGTGACTCTTTTTTCATTTCGCTTGGAACTTTGAAACAGAATATAAAAACACTCACACTTTGAAACAGAATATAAAAACACTTGAATAAACAGTATATAAAAACACTCTCAAATACAAACTAAACGCTCATGTTGCGAACATGAACGTCATCAATCCATCGACAAACTTTGTTGGTGGAAAGATGGCAAGCGAGCTGGCGGTTCACCTGATGTTAAGTGGGAATAAGCCCACTAACATTTGCAACATCTGCAGGGTTCCAGATAGGTTGCCACCATATAATAAAGTGAGCCACGGCTACCTCACGCACCAGGCGAAATGCAGAAGTATAACACTTCTACTTCACGCTTCGTTCGGTTTTCTGTGAGGTTGTGGTACTTACGCGGATGGCCCTGTCAATTCGAGCGAACTGTTGCGTATCCCTACCACATGTGCCTGGACCTACCACATATAATTTTGAGTTTTGTGGACACAACCATACTAAGGAATTACTATGAATTAGGCATCTTATCTTAAGCTGATTAATCCTGGCGGGATAACTTAATTACAATTGCTGCGTGGTCATCGCTTCCTGTTAATTATTTCTTTTGGCAAAGGATGTGAAGTAGTAGGTGTGCCACCTGATAGTAAGTGTTAATTATGTATATAATTGGCATAATTAATAATTTTAATTTGAAAAATTCCAAAAAAGTTATTAAAATTTTGTAATATAAAGTGATAAAACTTTAAAAAAAAAACACGAAAAGTTTCACACTTTTTACCTTTGGTTTCACATGTATCGTAGTTATTTGTTAGATAAGAAAAAACATAGCTAGATGATCCGATTGGTGATTTTGATAATGAACTAATCCGTTTATGCTATGGTCATAAATGCCTCTTCAACATAAAACATTATATTTTTTAGCGGAAGTAACATTATTAAAAAAAAAAAGCATAATATGACAAAAGATAGATTTTTCAAAATTAATAATTTTAACCATTACCAAAAGTAAAGCTTTTTTTTTAAATATCATTGTCATTGAATTAGAGTAGTTTTATCATTATTGTGATTGCATCATTATTGTAGTGACATGAAAGTAAGCAGTATTATCAACACTTTATTGATATAAGAGATTATTTTTTTAACAGTTATTATACTTTGCACATAACTAGGAGCATTACTGATTGCATTCTTTATCAGATAGAAAATGGGTTGGCATTATAAAAATATTTTATGAACATTATTATCATAATCTATATTATTAAGATAATGGTGTTGATGAAATTTCAGTTCAGTTCAATCATTTAAGTACAAATTCAATTTTCATTTGCAATTTGCAGGTATTTTATGGTTATTCTCTTCTATGTAGTATAAATAGTAACTTATATACTAACATTTAACATTTTAATAGCAGAACACAGGAACATCTTCTTAGTTAAAGTTAATTATCACAAGAAATAATAAGTTAGATATATATTAGACTTCGCAAATCCGACATTCTATACACAACTCGTTAATTCGACATCTTGAGAGCCGTGATAGCTCAGTGGTCGGGCGCTCGCCTTTCATTTAATATACTCGAGCAACCTGAGTTCGATCCCCGGTGCCGGCACAAATGAAGTTTTTTAACTTTAAGTGCTGACTTATCACGTGCTCCGCGGTGAAGGAAAACATCGCGAGGAAACTTGCATATTTTCGAAATAATAACAAAAAAAATATATTTCCAAGATATGTGAAGTCCGCCAATCCACAGTAGGGCCGCGTGGTGGACTATGCCCTGATACCCTCTGTCTAGAGGAGGCCTTTGCCCAGCAGTGGGACATGTATAGGCTGTGACCTTACCCTTACCTAATTCGACATCCTATACACAAGCTAAAAGCAGTTTTACCGACATTAAAACCGACATTATCGGTGGCCAATTATTCATCATTTTCTCCCTTTCGTAGTTTTATTTATATCAGATGTAACATTGCTTGGTGGTGGTGCATTTGTATTGTAAATGAAGAAAGACTATTCGAACTAAGATACTCAGAACTTTGAAGGGAAAGGTAGATCATACTATATTAATCCAACAGCTTAAAATTGCACCTTTCAAGTTTACTAATACTAAATGTCAGACATACATATCTTAATTCATGGAAAGACATTGATATTATTTTAATTAAACTTAACATTATTTGCAAACCAAATAGCAGCCGAGGTTAAACAATTCAATTTATTTTAAAATTTGGCATAACACTTAAACAAGTAGCGCAGTTCGTCGGATAAGGGGGACAATAAATGTAAATAAATTATTACGAGCGGTCGATCCAAGCTGTTACTTCTAGTGAAGTTCGCCCACTCAAGTATTTTAATGGTCTACTACAGCATTATTTACTTTTTAATTATCACCAGACATTTAATTCGAGAAAACGTTCCATCTATCAAACGTGTTTATAGCCTTTATTGTCTATTATTATTCACAATTTTCTCCATGATCTTTACCTCTAAAATTTTGTCAGGGATCGACTAATGTCACAAAAGCAAAATTAGTAAAAATTTTCTTTTAGAACAACTCCAACATTTTTGTTGTTGGCTCAAGAGAGTTTGTGGATATATTTATTTCAATTTATTACTTAATTTCATAAATTATTAGTTACTTTCCAGAAATTAGTTGTAATTTTTAATTCTGTCGGCGTTTAAACGATCAGACGACTGTGGGTCATTAAAACACATAACATTAAAACATATTTATGTTTATTAATTGCAAAAACTCCGCATTTTTGCAATTAATAAACATTAAAAAGCATTTCCGAGACAATAACCCTTTAGTGTTTGGATAGAGAAAATACTGTTCGTATTTGTAGTCACTTCTGTTTATCGTATTTGCTGTGTTTATGACTTTATAGGCTGGATCTAAAAAAATATTTAAAAGTGTGTTGGTTTAATCGACTTTCTTATTGTTGATCTGATTAAAACAATCATGATGCTTTGAATGTATGGTAGAAAAATCGGTAGGGAATAGGTTTATATATTATATTATACTTACACATGCAATGTAAAGGAATTTCAAGTATAAAGCACAACGATTCCCCCGCTAAGTATCCACTACTACCAGAGTGACACTTTTTACGGGCACTTGGTATCTTAATACAGTGTTGTACTCCTCTGAAACTACTCTACTTTCGTGGAAGCATTCCGTATTGGTGTAGGTGCCGTTTTTATATGTTTCTGTGGTAAAAAATGATTTGTCTTGTATTTTTACCTAACGAATGAAGTACCTACTTACCACTTTCTCCTCGATGATTTCGTTATTGTTGTTGTTGCTCCCATATTTTAAGGCACCGTTTTCCATGACCTCGAGTGATCGCCAGGTTTGATCGTTTTTTTTAAATTACTTATACATTTATTGGTAACAACTTTTAAATAACATTTATGTTGCGTTGATCTCGGAAACTGATAAATATTTACATAAAATGGTCTTGATCCCACAGCTATTGTAATATTTTTAGATACATACCAAATTTTTGTTTCTATGTTTAATTATTAAAACACAGCTAAAACACAATAAAATGAAACCAAGAAAATTAAAAGCACATTTAATAAAAAAAGGAGAGTATGAGGGGCCTAAAATTTATATCGTGCATTTTCATCTGATGACGAATCATATTACATAAATTAATTAATGAGATAATTGCAATATTGTTATAGATAAGGATACTATGGTTAATCTTATTACGAAATTATAGAACATTTTTCTCTTTTTTTAAATCTTTGCAATGTGTAACTAAAATTATAACTATTTGAAGTCACATGATATAGTTACATATAAAGTAAAAAAAGGAGAAATGGCTAGGAAAAATAGGGAAAATTAACAAATATTACTTTAATAGTATACAGCCAAAATCGTACAATAATCCGCGATCGTTGCTACGATACTTTTTATGGTAAACAAAGTTTTCCCTAAACACTTTAAATACATTGTAACAATCAAGTCCATGATATAAAATGAAAGATCCTCAAGACGGATTCAGGCGAAAAGTTTCGGCGTTCACTTTTTCGCGGACTTTGCCGAGGCACTTGCCCTAATTAACGAATATACAACTTCTTAACTAACGATATCGCGTTCAAAGGCACTTCGGATGTGTCGGTAGGACACATGATAGGTTATCGTCAGTCGGTACGGAACGTGTTAATGGGATGTCGCTTTGGTTTGAAGCGTCGCGTTGGGCGGCACGGGGCGGGCGGTTAGCGGGCCGCGTCACACTGCGGCTCGGGCGGTCGGCCGCCGCATTCCCGCACTCCGTCGCTGCCGCCGCCACCACCACCGCCGCGGAACGCACCGTACTATAACCTTGGACTACATACCGATTTTTCCCCACCATGGCACGTAAAGGCATCGATGGCTTAAAGTTTCCATGGCCTACCGTCGTTTCAATAATTCGCGCCGTTTCAACGCGAGTATAGCGTTTCCGCATTATATAAAAATCTCGAAACGCTCGAAATTCTCATAGGATTTTTTTTAAATATTATGTTCTTAGTACCTATATTTATACTCTTACATGTGTTTTGTAAAGATTTGTTGGTTTTATGTACGTAATATATAATATTTAAACTTGTATGTCGATTGAGTTAATGACTCGGAAGAAATATTTCGAAAGTAAAATATCAATTTGACAGTTAATATAAATATATACGTTTTTGATCGCTGCCTTGCAACTTAATATGTAATCATGTAGTAGGCAAATAGAAGTAATGATTGTTTAACTGCAATTAACATGGCATTGTTGAAGACAGTAATGTCGAATTTTGACCTAACTATGATTTATCTACCCAAGTGCAGTCAAGGAGAGCAGGCTAGTTTCTATACAATGTCATTTTTATTAGGAATAAGGGAGTTAACGAGCGTAAAAAGAGTGCTCGAATGAGTGCTAATGTATAAATTACAAAAACAAGATAGGCAAAGTGAAGTACCTTTCCGTAATGAAACTGTGACGTTTGCGTGGACGAGGTGAGTTCAAGGTTTGATAGTTATGCATAGGCGTATCTGCAGCGTAGGAACTAAACAAAGTGCATGTTAAGAACTTAGTTGGTACTCAAAAATGATAGAGCGGCTTCATTGCTGTGACAGTTTTACGATTGGTTGAATGATGTCTTTGAAGATGTTTTTATATCGTCTGATAATTCCTTAGTAAGACTTATCTCGGTTCTCATTATGTAACATAATATTCATTTCACTGTAGATGACGATTACTATAAATAGTAAAAACTAAAATGATACATTATAGCGGTAGAATTTAAAATATAATCCAGTTATCCCCGAAGTAGTATGAATAATGCAGGCTCAACATATAAACAATAAATAAATAATGTCTATTAATAATCCTATTATCTTTTTCTTTATTGGATGTTATTTTCACTTTTTGTCTCAGAGACTAAAAGATGAGACCATATTATGTTGGACCGTATGGAACCTTTTTTCATTAACTTTCATTGCCGAAACTGTGTTGACCGAGCTCAACGAGTATTTGAATATTTCTGATGACCGTCGACTGCGTGGTCGGTGGTGGGGCGGTGAGACAAGGTTTAAACTTGCAAGGAAACGAGTATTCGACTCGTTGCGTTGGACAGAAAATATTTTTAAAGTATTTTGATACCTAGTTTTTGTACCTGGTATGAGTCGCACTTTTAAGACCTGATACTTGATTTAGTAAGTATAATCCATCCCTAGTGCCACCACCAATGGACACTCACAATACCGAATTTTACATATGCGTTGCGGGAGCATTCCATTTGAGGTAGGATTACACTCGTCTTGAAGGTCCCTAAGTCAAATTCTCCGGAAATATCCCAAATCGGGTGTGTGGAGCATACAATTTTGTAGAAAACGCATAGGAAACGTTGCAAAAGTTTCGGAAAAAGAATTAAACAAAAAAAAAAGCAGAACTCCTACTTCTTGAACTAGAACTTTTTAGGCAGATAGAAAGAAGAAGTTATTAAAAATGTGTGATAAAGTTTAATAATACAAAATTGCATCTGATTTATAAACGAATCGGCTTGTCACACTCCTCATACTTTTTTTCATTTCGTAGGAAGTCGTTTCGAAGGCCGTATAAAAACCTAAAGTTATGGTCAATGTTTTCTCATAGCTACAACTTCTATTGTCCGCATTCCAGTCCTGACGCCTATAGTCGACTTATCTCTTCTTTATTAATGGACGCACATCCACATATTGGCTCAACTAGTGTGAGGTCTTTCAGACACGTAAAACCTTCCCTTATAACAGGTTCTGCCACCAACAATGCCTTTTTATAGTTTTCTGATTCAAATCATCATTAATTACAAGATACAAGACAATTGTTATCTCGATTTTCTTGATAGGTCATCATCAGGAAATTCTACTTGTTGTACAACAACTTGTGTTCTAAAGTACATCTAGGAAAAACTAATGAAAATTTTTATTTTAAATACATTCATGTGAACGACATTTATTAATCAATAATTATATAAACAATAAATATTTGAGTGTAATCAAAATCATAGATGCTAGTGTTTTGAGAAGATAATAATTCTGTGATTCCATAGTTAAGATTATTACTTATTTCGTCGTTCATTAATTTGTTCCTCTATATTTAATTTTCTTTAATACTTTTTTGTAATAATTTGATGGTTTAATATGTTAATAATTAAAAATGTTTTATAATTTTAGCTATGGTAGGGCTACAAGGTCCGTCCGGGTAAGTACAACGACCTCACAGAAGACCCGCATGAAGTGAACGTGTTATATATACTTCTGCGTTTCGTCTGATGAGTGAGGTAGTCGAGGCCCATTTTATTAAAGGTGGCAACTCATCTGCAACCCTACGGGTGTTGTAAATGTCAATGGGCGGAAGTAAACACTTAACATTAGGTGAACCAACAGCTCGTTTGCCATTGTCTCACATAAAAATATGATTTGGTTGGATTTGTCCAATGCACTTAAGGAGAGACTAATACTAAAAATAAAGAATAAACCGACAGTAAGATTACGAGCAATAATTACCTTTGACATGATTATTGATTAGTATAACCTATTTCCTACTATCTAAGAGGAAAATACGAGAATAAATGCGTTGGAATGGCTAATATAATATAAGCAAGGTCGGTTAAATTCTTTGGTTAAACAAGAACAGAATGGATTTGTCGAGAAATAGAAAGAAATAGAAAAGAAAATATTCTGCGGCCTCACGGCTTTTGTCATAGAGTATTGGTTCAGTATAGTCTCTGATGCACAAAAATGCTGGTTGCCATGCAGGCGGACTCAAGAATAGCTCTTGCAAGAGAACATTCAAGAACTACCGTGGTCTGCTCTGTCGCAGGGCTTAAACCCCCAAAGTAAAGTATTTTATTTACCACTCTGCAACTACAGCATTAACATACACCTTTTGAAATTACATTGGGAACGATTACCGCAAGATGAGATCAATAACCTCAAAGATTGGATGAACCGACAATACCGACAGGTTCTAAATACCCGTGGAGGTAATATTTTATATAAAAAATGTCATTCATTGCATTTTTATGGCTTAAAAAGCTTTTACCTTTTTTCTCTTAATTTTCTTCTTATTGCTATTAAAAGGCTGCCACAAACTTTATTGGTCTTCAATTTATTAATAATCATGTTTATATTTAATACAATAATGTCTGATAACTGAAAACACCATCGCATGGACTACTTAATATTGCTTAAACTTTTTTGACGAGTGTATCTATTATTGGAACTGCCATTCTATAGATGGGCAGTTCAGTGTATGGGCAGTATTTTTTTTGAAGTAATAAAGTGAACATTTAAACGACCGGCGTAACAATCTTAAATGTTAAATTGTTTCCATTTTTTACTAGTTTTCGATTATTCTTCTTTTTTAGTATCTTTAAGATTTTTATCGCATCTTGACAACGCTAATATAGACGCTATTACAAGTATAGAATACTCACCAACCAGGACATGTGTGCAAAAAGAATTTAATAAACAGACCATGACTTCGACGGCCATAAATTTTGTAAATCGTTGACTAGACACGGTGAGAATCTGTCCTGACTAAAAAATATTTTGTGTGCACGATGTGTTGTTCTCACTGTTCTTGTAGGCTAGGATGAAGTATGGGTTGTTGTAAGTTGTGTGTGGTAATTTTACGCGAGTTACGCTTAAGATAGTTGTAATTTTACCATCTTGCTGGGATTACTGGACTCTGTATCTTATCGCTGCGCGGACATATACGTTTTTAAGACGTACTTTGGAAAAGTTCCACGAAGATTTGGAGGGGGCGAAACTAAATCTTTTAACGCAAGAGGTTGTATCTTAAGGGCTTTTGCTCAAGGAGTTGCCGAGCAGTCGTTATGGAGTCGGAGCGGGTGTGGTTCATTTTATTGATGTTTTCATGCGAGAACGGAAAGACGAATAGATGAAGGTTTTGTTATCATATGGGTTTTTCGGAATCACCAAAGGCAAACGAGGTCTCGTTAATTCTGATTAACTGTTCATAATTATGAAGCGGGGTGATATATTGACTTTATACAGTTACGGAAGTCTGAACTAAAATAAAGTTTGAATCAGATTCATAACTAGGTTTCGTTTTTCTGAAACATCAGGTATAAAAGATCATTTGGCAGGTGGAAGCAAGGGCTGAGCTCTTTGTAATAAAATTCAAGATAGTGTATATAAAATCTGCAAGCGCCTAGTATGAAAACCACTAAAAACACAGAGGAGACGACAGACCGACGCTTTGATATCTGTATTTGTCAAGCCAAGGTTGTTTACCCTCTTTAAGTTCAGATTTATTGTGTGTTGAATGATCTAGAGTCATTAAAACATGTAGAAAAAGTACGAAAAGATAGTCGCCGCTGTGGGAATCGAACCCACGGTCTTCGGCATTCGCGGCCTGACGCTCTAGCCACTGAGCTAAACGGCTGATAGCCACAGCGACGAAAATCTTAACGCCTTCCTTCTACATTGTTATTTAGCATTTGAAGCAATGCTTGGCGCATCTATTGTTATGTCCTTTCCAGCATACAAACAATTTCGAATATCGTTTTACAGCGATAATTCGAACGAGAGATGTCGGAGAGAGCGGCGACAATCTTTTCCTACTTTTTCTACATGTTTTAATGTTCAATCTTAAGTGCAGAGATTAGCACTATAAAAACTTTAAAATTTAAGACCTAGAGTCAGTTCTATCGGCATGTTTAGTGTTGTATGTGTCCTCAACCAGATTCATTCATAATATCATCAGATCATCTACTCGCTGCTTAAAATTTGTCCAAATGAAAAATTCATAGTGTCAAAAGAAAGGGTTATTAACACGATAACATAATAATAGCACCACCGTGTACTGCGCGTAAAACTACGGCTCGGTAACACGAA